CCTGGCCGTCACAGGAAGGAGCACATGGATGCCGCTAAGAGGGTGTTGCGCTACTTGTGCAGTACGTCGGGCATGGGGCTTGTGCTTGGAGGGCGAGACCGAGTTGTTCTCACAGGGCACTCAGACGCTTCTTGGGCAGACGACCAGGCCACTCAGCGGTCGTCTCAGGGTTACACCTTCAGCCTTGGCTCTGGCTCAGTTTCTTGGCGCTCTACACGCTCTTCTTCTGTTCTCGGCTCCAGTTGCGAGGCTGAGATCTACGCTACAGCCATGGCTGCCCAGGAGTTACGCTGGCTGACCTACCTGCTGACCGACCTCGGAGAGCCGCCTCGTTCTCCTCCAGTCCTGTACGTCGACAACAAGGCTGCCATTGCCTTGTGTGAGGAGCACAGACTGGAGCACAGAACGAAGCACATCGCCCTGCGGTACTTCCTTGCTCGTGAGCTGCAGCAGCGCGGTCAGCTTTGTATTCGCTACGTGGCCACTGAGGCCAACACTGCTGATGTGTTCACCAAGGCGCTTCAGCCTCGTGACCATCAGCGCTTCTGCACTCTACTAGGCCTTGTGCCTACTGGACCTCACTTACTTACCTCTTGACTTTGCTTGTACTGTGATCACTATATATATCTATACCTGCATGTTTACTCTTGCTAGGTTGTGATCACTGTATCTCTTGCTCTGTTATAAACCTGCATGTGAACTGGTCTTGTGACCACTAGCTTGTGCTCGGAATTTGTGTGGAATCCTTGAGATCCACCCTGAGCTTGTTGTTGCCTTGCTTTGCCTTGACTGGTCTTGTGACCCCTAGGTCTCCCCACTTTGCCTATGGGGGTGTGTCAAACATTATACATGTTGTATTTGTGTAGGCTGTAGTGGGTTAGCCTATAGGGGGGTCACAACATTAGGGTTTCATATTTGTACTCACAATCCTTTCTAGTTCACCATTCCAGTCCGTTATTACTGACAAAACGTGGCAAACACGATCTGGTGTTTGCCATGCACACGATCCGTACTCTCGTCACAGGTTAGTCCGATGAATGGACTAGACTGCAACCAGAGTTGCTGACGAGCACGGAGATAGGCTGCAGTGCATGCGATGAGCTCTGCAAACCCATTTCTGCATACAAGGAAAGAGGGAACAGAAGGTTAGCAACAGTGGGATAGTTGTGATCCACGTCCATACAAAGACCCTCGGGTATAGCAGCTATTGTTACATACGGCTCACCTGGTGTAATAAGCACCGTATCCATTCTTGGGGAAGCCTGGTGTCTGTCGCTCTGCAAGGTGCCGAACCAATTGAACCCACATCTCAATCGGCGCGTCACACTTGCACATGAACAGCAGGGTCTCCAGCAGAGCGATGACCCTTACACGCTGGGTGTCTCCAGCCTTCGGGCAGTCGACGATGCGCTGCTGCTTTGATGCCGCCTTGTCCGCCTGGGCCTGTCGCTTGATGGACCGTTTGTGCTTCCTGGAGCTTTGATGCGTGCGGAACGCCTGTGATTGGACATCGACGGCACCTTCGCTAGCAGCGCCGTAGTTTGTGCCGTCGCCTGCGTGCTTGATACACAAGGTGCACCTCACGGATGGGAAACCGTAAGATGTTTGACAAAGCACGAGCCACGGGAAATCAGTTGACCACTTCTGTTTGTACTTCATAAGAGCCTGCTGGTACTTATCCTCTGCCTCATCGCGCAGTTCCTCAGTGGACGAACTTGCTGCAGGAACGGCCGATGGTCCTGGTAAAGCTGGCGCCAAGCGGACACGAGCGGTGGGTTCCGTGAGACTATCGCGAGTGAACGACAAGCGCGACTGTTTGTGCTTGGTCGCTCTTAACTTAGCAGAAGCGGCAGGGCCGATGCGTGTCGCACCAGGTGGTACAATGTTTGTGCCGTTTGTGCTAGCATAGGCGGGTGTGACAGCGGGAGTACGAGATGATCCAGCTGCAGGTGAACCTGTTGGTAAGGCGGACACAGCTCTAACCGGACGCAAAAAATCTAATCCGGTTAGACCCCGTGATACTGGCGCCGCGCCATCGTCCTCGTTTGCCATCATCCACCCGAACTTCACAACTAGTGCTGCTGCTACTCTAACAGCAACACTGCAAGGGTGTTGGATGGAGTGCTACTGAACGTCAGCGTGAGAAACCCAGCTAGAGCTAGCCAGGCAGAGGACGAGTTGCCTTGGCGGTGGGTGATGGGGTTGGCTGGCTTGGCTGGTGTAGCGGGGGATCGGAAATGTCAAGGGGAAGAGAACGTGCGAAGGCGGGAAACATACACGGGGGAAAATTTCACCGAAGACAAAAATCCTCGGGGAAAAAATTCCCCCCGAAACGGAACACCCCCCCTTACCCCCCCCCCCCCCCCCCCCCCCCCCCCCCCCCCACCAAAATCCGCGTCAGGGCAGGCCTCGACATTCATCCTGACGCTACAGGGAAGAACACTACGGCCATCCTGAAACTCCAGGGCATTTCACATAAAAACATCCTGTGACCTCAGGGTTAAAATTATGACTATTCTGAAATTGCAGGGTAAATACAGAAGTGCATCCTGAATTCAGGGTAATCAGGATGTTTTGCCCTGATATCGTGGGCCCTGATGTACTCCACCTGCCTGTCAAACATTATATGTTTATATGATTGTAGGCTGTAGTGGGTTACACCTTAGGGGGTACACTAGATTAGGGTTTCCTACTTGTATCCAACTTCCTGCTAGTACAGTCATTCCTGTCTGTTGATTCTGACATGGTTTCAGAGCAGGTCCTTCGCTAGGACCGTTCTTAGGGCCCACCGTTACCTACCTACCTACCTACCGTGCGCCCTCGTGCGCCCTCGCGCCCTCGTGCGCCTCTTACTACCGCGCGCCCTCGTGCGCCCTTGCGCCCTCGTGCGCCTCTCCCTACCGCGCACGCACGGCCTGCTAGCCACCCGCGCGCGGCCCGCTTTCCGCGGTTTTAGCGCGCGCGACCCGCTAGCCGCCCGCGCGCGGCCCGTTTCCTCGCGCGCGTGACCCACTAGCCGCCCGCGCGCGCCCCGCCCGTCTGTCGCGACGCTCTAAGGAGCCCGCGAACCCCCCGCCCGTCCGTCGCGACGCACTGGGGAGCCCGCGAGCGCCCCGCCCGGTCGTCGCGGCGCCCTTGGGAGCCCGCGCGCGCCCCGCCTCGCCGTCGCGGAGCCCTCGGGGGTCGCGCGCGCGTCCCTCCCGCCCGTTCGTCGCAGCGCCTTGGGCAGCAGCGCTAGCCACCCCCCCTTCCACCCGCCCACCCGACCGTTCTGGCGCCTTGGGGGTCGCGCCCCGTCCCCCCTTCGCCATACCCCGCGCTCCTGCCCCCTATCCCACCCGTTTTAGGGTTTCGGGGCGCTGCTGCAGCTGCCGCCGCTGAACCTGCAGCAGCGGCCGCCGCTGAGACTGCGGCACCTGCCGCCGCCGAGCCTGCATCAGCTGCCGCCGCCGACTCTGCAGCCGCTGCCGCCACCGTACCGGCAACTGCTGCCGCCGCTAGCCCTGCAGCAGCGGCCACCGCCGAGCCTGCCGCAGTTGGCGCTGCCGTCACTGCTGCCCCGGTCCCTGCAGCAGCCGCCCCTGGCATCTCGAGCAGCTGCCGCGGAGCTCCCTACTGCGGCCTGGCCTCGCTCTGCAGTTGCAGCGGCCCCGCTGTCACCTCCGCCTTGCGCCTGCCCCGCCGACCACTGGTGAGCATTCCCCTGCCAGCACTGCTACCGCTGCTACTGCTGCTACTCCCACTGTCACTGCTCCTGCTGTTACTGCCGCTGGTGCTACTGTTCCTGACGTGACACAATGCAGCTCCAGGACCGTACGCGTGAGTCCCTCACGCTCCAACAGGCTCGTGAGTGGTACGCTAGTTTAGGCTGTCGGGGTGGCCGTCGTGGTCGTCGCTCTGGAGTGCGTCGTTCGGGAGCATCTGGTAGTGGACAGGTGCAGCAGCAGTGTCCTCTTACGCTCCAGCGGGCCCGAGAGTGGTACGCCAGTTTGGGCTGTCGGGGTGGCCGTAGTGGTAGTCGCTCTGGCGTGCGTTGTTCGGGAGCATCTGGTAGTGGACAGGTGCAGCAGCAGTGTCCTCTTACGCTCCAGCGAGCTCGTGAGTGGTACGCGAGTTTGAGCTCTCGGGGTGGTGGTCGTGGTAGTCACTCTGGAGTGAGTAGTTCGGGGGCTTCTGGTCGCGGACCGGTGCAGCTGCCGTGTAGTGTGAGTGAGGCTGCCGCTCTAGGTGCTAGTGAGACCGCCACTGCAGGTGCTCGCGTGTCTGCCACCTCAGGTGATGGTGAGGCTGCCGCCCTAGGTGCCAGTGAGTCTGTCCCCCCTGGTACTGAGTCGACTGAGGCACTACACACCTTCACCCTGGACTCAGGTGCTTCTCGCTGTTTCTTTCGTGACCGCACTGCCCTTGAGCCACTTGCTCGGCCAGTTGCTGTCTCCCTCGCTGACCCCTCTGGGGGTCCGGTCATTGCGACCTCCTCCACTGTTCTTCCCTGTCCTGCGGTCCCGTCGGGCACACTGTCTGGTCTCCACCTCCCCTCGTTCTCTACGAACTTGGTGGCGGGTTGTGCGCTCCAGGACGCGGGTGTTCACCAGTTCACCCCTGCCTATGAGCGCGTGACACACTGCACGTGTGCTCGGACAGGCCGTCACCTGGCTACCTTCACTCGGCAGCCGGGGTCGGACCTGTACACACTGACCACTGAGTCCCCTCAGGTAGCTGCGTCCGCGTCTGCGTCTGCGTCAGGTCAGCTGTCCGCCCCCTGCTCGTGTCGCTCTCTGGCGCATGAGACTGTCCTCTGGCACCACCGCCTTGGTCACCCGTCTGTGCAGCGCCTTCGGGCCATGCACAAACGGGACCTTGTTGCTGGTCTTCCCAGGGTTCTCCCTCCCCTCCCACCCTCGCCTGCTCCTCCCTGTCTTCCCTGTGTCGAGGGGCGGCAGCGCGCCGCTCCTCACTCCTCCTCCTTTCCCCCGACGACTGCTCCTTTGCAGACGCTCCACATGGACGTGTGGGGCCCAGCCCGCGTCCGTGGTCAGGGTCAGGAGAGGTACTTCCTAATTGTTGTTGACGACTTCTCGCGCTACACCACGGTCTTCCCCTTGTGCACCAAGGGTGACGTCCCTGATGTCTTGATCCCTTGGATCCGCAGATCTCGTCTCCAGCTCAGTGAGCGTTTCCGCTCCGATTTCCCTGTCCTGCGTCTGCACTCTGACAGAGGTGGGGAGTTTTCCTCTGGCCTCTTGGAGGCCTTCTGTCAGCAGGAGGGCATTGAGCAGTCGTTCACGCTTCCGGCCTCTCCACAGCAGAATGGGGTTGCTGAGCGCCGCATTGGCTTGGTCATGGAGGTCGCTCGTACCTCCTTGGTTCATGCGGCTGCCCCCCATTTTCTATGGCCGTTTGCAGTCCGATACGCTGCGCATCAGCTCAACCTCTGGCCCCACTGCGTTGGACGGGAGAGGCTGGCGATGCGTCGCGTTTTCGGGTCTGGGGATCTCGAGCTTTTGTTCGCGATACGTCCGCGGACAAGCTCTCCCGTCGAGCTGTCCCCTGTGTCTTCCTTGGCTTTGTCCCGGACGCGCCTGGTTGGCAGTTCTACCACGCCACCTCGCGTCGTGTCCTGGCCTCTCAGGACGTCACTTTTGACGAGTCCGTCCCCTACTACCGCCTCTTCCCCTACCGCACTGCCCCGCTCCCCCCCCCGCCTCTCTTCCTCGCTCCAGGTGCTGAGGTACCAGACCCCCTCCCCCCTCAGGGTGCCGCTCCCTCAGGTGTGTCCCAGGTAGACCCGGTTGAGCCTGTCGAGGTAGCTGTTGACTCTCGTCCTGCTGGGGGTACTGAGCCTGACCGTGAGGAGTCTGAGGGTGCTGAGCCTGGGGGTGCGGAGCCTGGAGGTGCTGAGCCTGGGGGTGCGGAGTCTGGAGGTGCTGAGCCTGGAGGTGCTGCGTCTGGGGGTGCTGCGTCTGGGGGTGCTGAGCCTGGGGGTGCTGAGCCTGACCGTGCTGAGTCTGGGGGTGCGGAGTCTGGAGGTGCTGAGCCTGGGGGTGCTGCGTCTGGGGGTGCTGTGTCTGGAGGTGCTGAGCCTGAGCGTGCTACACCTGGAGGAGCCCTCTCCTCCCAGCAGCTGCAGGAGAGGTACCTACAGTACTGCCGCCTCCGGAGAGGTACTGCTGGAGCTCGTACTAGTACTTCCCCTCCTCCCCAGGAGCTCCCCCCCATTCAGCAGATCCGAGAGTGGTACGCGCGGCGCTGCAGTCTTCGGAGTGGTGCTCCTGGTGCTGCAGACCCTGGGGGTGGCGCTACTGCTGGTGCTGAGGACCCGGACGTTGGAGCTGCTGCTGGTGCTGAGGACCTGGACGGTGGAGCTGCTACTGGTGCTGAGGACCCGGGCGTTGGAGCTGCTGCTGGTGCTGAGGACCCGGGCGGTGGCGCTGCTGCTGGTGCTGCGGACCCGGGCGGTGGAGCTACTGCTGGTGCTGAGGACCCGGGCGTTGGAGCTGCTGCTGGTGCTGGGGACCCGGGCGGTGGAGCTGCTGCTGGTGCTGAGGACCCGGACGTTGGAGCTGCTGCTGGTACTGAGGACCCTGCTGCTGGTGTCTCTGCTCGTTCTGGAGACGCTACGCGGCCGCGACCGTACTTCGTACCGCTCCTTCAGCAGGTTCTTGGTCAGACTCCTCCTCCTTGTCCTCCTCCCTCCGTAGAGTGTCCTCCGCCTGTCCAGTCGCAGTCACAGTTACCGCCTGTCTCGCCTCTCCCTGCTCCCTCTCCTTACACTGGTCCCACGGGAGGTCTTACAGAGCGTCGTGAGCCTGAGTCTCGTCCTGCGTCGCCTGTTCGTACTGCTCGCACTGGTCGTCGTGTCCGTCGTGAGCGTCCTCCTCCTGTCCCTGGCACTCACTACATGACTCTGCGTCCCTCCACTGCTCCTCAGCGTGTCCCGCTACCGTCTCCTCCCGCTTCCTCTCTTCCTACTCTTCCTGACCCGGAGTCTGACTCCCGTCGTGCTGCCAGTCCCACTGTCACGCGCCTCCTCGCTACTGTTGTCACTGACCCTACCTTTGAGTCCTCTGCTGCGTCTGCGCTGGTCGCTGAGCTGGTTGACTTTGCTGCCCGGTGTCGTCTAGACTACGCTGCTAGCCTTGTCGCTGAGTCTGAGTCTGAGTCTGTCTGTCCTCCGTCCGTCGGGGGTGAGTGTGCTCTTGGCACGGACGTCCTTGAGGACAGACAGGAGGAGTTCCAGTGCCTTGCTGCTGTTTTGCCCCGTCTCGTGTCCTTACTAGTTGCCCCTGAGGGAGACCCGGATGCTCCTGACATCCCGACCCCGCGCACCTACGCTGAGGCGATGGCGGGTCCCTACTCCTCTCAGTGGCAGACAGCCATGGACGCAGAGATGGCTTCCTGGAAGTCCACACGCACCTACGTCGACGAGGTTCCCCCTCCTGGGGCGAACATCGTCAGTGGCATGTGGATTTTCAGGGTGAAGCGGCCGCCGGGTTCTCCTCCTGTCTTCAAGGCGCGCTACGTTGCTCGAGGCTTCAGCCAGCGAGAGGGAGTTGACTTCTTCCAGACCTTCTCCCCCACCCCGAAGATGACCACTCTTCGGGTGCTGCTGCACATAGCCGCTCAGCGCGACTACGAGCTTCACTCACTTGACTTCAGCACTGCCTTCTTATGGGGCAGCCTACACGAGGAGATCTGGCTGCGTCGCCCTCCTGGTTTCACTGGGTCGGTTCCTCCTGGTACCAAGTGGAGGCTCCAGCGGCCGGTCTACGGTCTCCGCCAGGCACCGCGTGAGTGGCACGACACACTGAGGACGACACTTGCGGCTCTAGGGTTCGCTCCCTCTACTGCTGACCCGTCACTGTTTCTACCTATGTTCAGACACCTCGCTGCCGCCGTTCTACATCCTCGTGTACGTCGACGACCTGGTCTTTGCCACTGCTGACACCGCGGCACTCGCCCACGTGAAGTCGGAGCTGCAGAGGAGACACACGTGCACAGACCTGGGGGAACTGACGAGCTATCTTGGCTTGCGGATCACCCGGGACAGAGCACAGCGCACCATCACCTTGACTCAGTCACACATGGTGCAGCAGATCCTTCAGCGCTTCCGCTTCACGTACTCCTCGCCTCAGTCCACTCCTCTGCCTACCGGTCACTCGCTCTCAGCTCTGCCTTCGGATGAGTCCGTAGAGCCGAGTGGCCCGTATCCAGAGCTTGTGGGCTGTCTCATGTACCTGATGACCTGCACTCGACCTGACCTGGCATACCCTCTTAGCATCCTTGCATGCTATGTCGCTCCTGGCCGTCACAGGAAGGAGCACATGGATGCCGCTAAGAGGGTGTTGCGCTACTTGTGCAGTACGTCGGGCATGGGACTAGTGCTTGGAGGGCGAGACCGAGTTGTACTCACAGGACACTCAGACGCCTCTTGGGCTGACGACCAGGCTACTCAGCGGTCGTCTCAGGGTTACACCTTCAGCCTTGGCTCTGGCTCAGTTTCTTGGCGTTCTACTCGCTCTTCCTCTGTTCTCAGCTCCAGTTGTGAGGCTGAGATCTACGCCACAGCCATGGCTGCCCAGGAGCTACGCTGGCTGACCTACCTGCTGACTGACCTGGGAGAGCGGCCTCGTTCTCCTCCAGTGCTGTACGTCGACAACAAGGCTGCCATTGCCTTGTGTGAGGAGCACAGACTGGAGCACAGAACGAAGCACATCGCCCTGCGGTACTTCCTTGCTCGAGAGCTGCAGCAGCGCGGTCAGCTTTGTATTCGTTACGTGGCCACTGAGGCCAACACTGCTGATGTGTTCACCAAGGCGCTTCAGCCTTGTGACCATCAGCGCTTCTGCACTCTGCTAGGCCTTGTGCCTACTGGACCTCATTTGCTTACTTCTTGACCTTGCTTGTACTGTGATCACTATATATATATGTATACCTGCATGTTCACTCTTGCTAGGTTGTGATCATTGTATCTCTTGCTCTATTATAAACCTGCATGTGGACTGGTCTTGTGACCGCTTGCTTGTGCTCGGAATTTGTGTGGAATCCTTGAGATCCACCCTGAGCTTGCCTTTCTTTGCTTTGACTGGTCTCGTGACCCTGTGGTTGTCTCCCACTGCGCCTATGGGGGTGTGTCAAACATTATATGTTTATATGATTGTAGGCTGTAGTGGGTTACACTAGATTAGGGTTTCCTACTTGTATCCAACTTCCTGCTAGTACAGTCATTCCTGTCTGTTGATTCTGACACTGCCTGCTAGTACAACCCTCATCTTCTTCTGTTCATTCCTGCTCGTTAGTTTCTGACATGGTATTCAGAGCAGGCACTTTCCTTGAGCCTTCCTCAGTGGGCCCACCGTTCGCTTCCGCTGCTGCTATTTTATGTCAAACTATATCTATGTATGCTGTAGTATAGTCTGTAGGCTGTAGTGTTAGGGTTTCTATTTGTACCCCCTTTTCACAAAGTTCATTCATTCCTGCCTGGACTTTTGACATGGTATCAGAGCAGTAGGTCCGTAGGACCGTCTTTTTTTTTTTTTTTTTTTTTTTTTTTTCGGGCCCACCTGCCGTTGCGGTTACTGAGCTGCCCCACGTCTTGCCTGCGCTGCGCCGCCCGCGCGCGCCCTGCCTTGCCTGCGCTGCGCCGCCCGCGCGCGCCCTGCCTAGCCTCCGTGACGTGCTGCGCTGCGCGCGCCGTCCTGCAGCCTTCGCGCTGCCTGCTGCTGCCCCACGTCACGTTGCCCCGCGCACGCCCTACCCTGCCCCGCGTTGCGCTGTCCCGTGCACGCCCTGCCCTACCCTGCGCCAGCGCCCTGCCCTTCGCCAGCGCCCTGCCCTGCGCCTGCGCCCTGCTCAGCGCCAGCGCCCTGCCCTGCGCCAGCGCCCTGCCCTGCGCCAGCGCCCTGCCCTACGCCCGCGCTGCTGCCCTGCGCGTCGCACCCTACGGCAGCCCGCGCGTCGCGCGCTGCTGCCCCACACGTTGTGCCCTACGGCAGCCCATGCGTCGCGCGCTGCTGGCCCGCGCGTCGCGCCCTACGGCAGCCCGCGCGTCGCGCGCTACTGCCCCGCGCGTCGCGCTCTGCTGCAGCCCGCGCGTCGCGCCCTGCTGCCCTGCACGTCGCGCCCTGCTGCAGCACGCGCGTCGCGCCCTGCTGCCCTGCACAGCGCGCGCCCTGCTGCCCGCGCAGCCCAGGCGGAGACGAGCTGCCCTACCCGACCCAATCCGCCCTCCTGCTCGTGCTACTACTGCTGCTGGTGGAGGTGCTGCTAGGAGTGCTGGAGGTGCTGCAGCCTAGCCTCACCGGGCCGCTCTACTGCTCTTACTGCTGTTGCTGCTGCTCGTGCTGCTGTCTTCCCTCCGTACCGCCCTCCTCCTCGCGCGCCTCCTTGCTTACCCGCTATGACTTCCCTTCGTAGTAGCGGTGGGAGTGGTGACGGCGGTGGTGGCAGCAGTGGGAGTGGTGGCGGCCGTAGTAGCAGTCGCTGTGGAGCTGTTCGGTGGGGAGCGTCGGGCGGTGGCCAGATGCAGCTGCAGAGGCGTCTGCGCGAGATCCTTCCACCCCAGCAGCTTTGTGAGTGGTACGCTCAGCGTTGTGCGTCTCGGAGAGGTGGCGGCGACCATAGTAGCAGTTGTGGTGGAGCTGGTCAGTGCGGAGTTTCTGGCGGTGGCCAGATGCAGCTGCAGCGGGCTCGCGCGAGACCCTTACGCCCCGGCAGCTGCATGAGTGGTACGCTCAGCGTTGTGCGTCTCGGAGAGGTGGCGGCGACCATAGTAGCGGCCCTGGTGACGCTGGTCAGTGCAGAGTTTCTGGCGGTGGCCAGATGCAGCTGCAGCGGCGCCCGTGCGCGACCCTTACGCCCCGGCAGCTTCATGAGTGGTACGCTCAGAGTTGGCAGTGTAGGACTACTGCTCGCTGCTCGTACGTCATTCGCACAGGTGATTGTGATGGTCAGACCTGCAGGACAATTAGTCACACAGAGTCCCGCTGCTTCTCCCGTCTGAGCGACGCTTGGCGAGCACGGTTTGGCGACGAGACTGAGCTACCCCTCTGGCTAGAGCTGCTTCGAGACGGAGTAGATATATTTGCTCTAGACTATGACACTATCCTTACTGCCATGTATGCTCTGACTGGTACTACTGAGGGTGACTGTTACCTGTGTGTGCCCCCTGGTATAGCAGCTGCTGCTCTAGGTGCTAGTGAGTCTGCTCTCTCTGGTACTGCGTCTGCTGAGGCCTTGCACACCTTCACGCTTGACTCATGTGCTTCCCGCTGTTTCTTTCGAGACAGTACCACAGTCACTCCCCTCTCTGCACCTGTCCCTGTCTCACTGGCTGACCCCTCTGGGGGCCCAGTGTTTTCTCGCTCCTCCACTGTGCTCCCGTGTCCGGCGGTCCCGTCCGGTGAGCTGTTAGATCTCCACATCCCCTCGTTCTCTACGAACCTGGTGAGCAACGCCGTCCTTCAGGATCATTGGGTTGACACCTTTACTCCTGGAGGACAGCGTGTGACGATCTGCACGTGCACCCAGACTGGCCGCCACCTGGCCACATTCCCCCGTGAGCCTGGGTCCAGTCTGTACACCCTCACCACTGTGTCGCGCTACACCCCTGTGTCTCCTCAGTTGTACGTGTCTGCTTAGGTAGCTACCCAGTGTGAGTGCCGCCGCCTGTCGCACGACACGCTTCTGTGGCACCACCGCCTTGGTCACCCCTCCCTGCCCCGCCTTAATGGCATGCCTGGTCTCTGGTCTTTCCAGGTCTCTGCCTGCCCTCCCTCCCTCGCCTGCGCCGCCCTGCATTCCTTGCGTCGAGGGACGGCAGCGCGCCACCCCTCACTCCTCCTCGTTCCCTCCCACAGAGGCTCCTCTGCAGACTCTTCACATGGACGTGTGGGGCCCAGCCCGCGTCCAGGGGCAGGGCCGTGAGCGGTACTTCCTGCTGGTCGTCGACGACTACATGCGTTACACCACGGTCTTCCCCTTGCGCAGTAAGGGTCAGGTCCCTGATGTTCTGATCCCCTGGATCCGTGCTGTTCGTCTCCAGCTCCGCGAGCGGTTCGAGTCGGACTTTCCTGTCCTGCGTCTGCACTCTGACAGAGGTGGTGAGTTCACCTCCGACCTCTTGCGAGCCTTCTATGAGGAGCATGGCATTCGCCAGTCGTTCACGCTTCCGGCCTCTCCGCAGCAGAATGGGGTTGCTGAGCACCGCATTGGCTTAGTCATGGAGGTCGCTCGTACCTCCATGATCCATGCGGCTGCCCCCCATTTTCTGTGGCCGTTTGCGGTCTGGTACGCCGCGCATCAGCTCAACCTCTGGCCCCGTGTCTCCTTGCCGGAGACCTCACCCACACTGCTGTGGACGGGGGAGGTTGGCGATGCGTCACGCTTCCGGGTCTGGGATGCTCGTGCCTTTGTCCGCGATACCACCGCGGACAAGCTCTCCGCTCGCGCCATTCCCTGCGTCTTCCTTGGTTTTCCTCCTGACGCGCCTGGCTGGCAGTTTTACGACCATGCCTCGCGCCGTGTCATTGCGTCTCAGGACGTCACCTTCGACGAGTCGGTCCCCTTTTACCGTCTCTTTCCCTACCGCACTGCCGCTCGCCCCCCCACTCCTCTTTTTCTCGCTCCAGGTCCTCCCCAGGTAGACCCCCTCCTTGCGCCAGGTCCTGCTCCTTCAGGTGTTTCTCAGGTAGACCCTCCTGTGCCTGAGCCTGTTGAGGTCACTGGTGACTCAGGTCCTGCTGGGGGTGCTGTGCCTGGGGGTGCGGAGTCTGGGGGTGCTGAGCCTGAGCGTGCGGAGCCTGGGGGTGCTGAGCCTGAGCGTGCGGAGCCTGGGGGTGCTGAGCCTGCGGGTGCTGAGCCTGAGGGTGCTGAGCCTGGGGGTGCTGAGCCTGAGCGTGAGGAGACTGGAGGTACTGCGCCTTGGGGCGCTGCGTCTGGTGGTGCTGCGTCTGATTGTGAGGAGCCTGGGGGTGCTGAGTCTGGGGGTGAGGCGCCAGAGGGTACTGCGACTGCTGGTGCGCGGTCTCCTTACAGTGGCCGCCTTCGTTCGCGTGCGCCCCTCTCCCCACAGCAGCTGCACGAGTGGTACGCTCGCCGTCAGGGTCGCGCTGCTGGAGCTCGGGGCTCTGCCGCTGGAGGCGCTTCTGCTGCCGTACCTGGAGCTGGGTGTGCCGGTTCAGAGGGTACTGGGGCTGGTGCGAGAGGAGCAGACGACGCTAGAGCCGCAGGGCTTGAGGACGCTTGAGCTGGTGGTACAGCTGACCCTGCTGCAGGAGGTGTTGTTGGAGCTGCTGGCACTGGAGCTGGGAGTACTGCAGGTGCTTTGTCTGCTGGAGGTGCTGGAGCCGCTAGACCTAGAGGTGCTCGTACTGGAGGTACTGGAGCTGCTGGGGCTGGAGGTGCTGCGTCTGGGGGTGCTACTGCTGGAGACACTGAGGCTGGAGACCCTGGGACTGGAGGTGCTGGTCCTCAGGGTGCTGCTGCTGGTGACGCTGGTACTGGCGGTGCTGGCGCTGGAGGCTCCGGAGATGCTGGTGGAGCTGGTCC